CTGGCATAACTGTCTTGACTCACCATATTTTGATTTTGTCATGTCTATTATTACTTGTATATTTGTTTTTTTTAGTACTCTATATTTCTACCTTGTTACACTTTGATAGGCTTGGTATTCTTGTACGATCATGAATTTAGTTCATGATATCATGTGTTTACTAAGTAAAATTTTACTAACAAAGCCATTAATTACATATTTCTGTATTTGATCAATTATACTGTCAATTTTAATTCTTCTTTTAATCCAAAGCCGTTTTACTATTCATATTGGCCAATTTTTGATAGCCTAGTTCTCCTAAATTGCTACTCTTAACATATTTCAGGTGTCCTCAAATACTTCAGATCATTAATTCCATAGATCCAATATGTATAATATACAGTTGTAAATCCTTCTTTTCCAATTTTACAATACTTCTGAACTCTTTATAATCGATCAAGATAATTTTAAATTCTTTTTTGTCTAATATTTTCTTAAGTTCCAGATAAATATAATTTGGTGATTTATTAGTTTTCAAATGGCTTCTATATTTTCCAGACCAATAATTTGCTTTCTGAATATCTCTTTTTGTACTGATACTATTTTGATATGGTCAAGTAACAGATTTCTGATAGTAAATAAATATATTATTGTCAACTTTTTCAACCTTGATCTTGCTATCCTCGAGATTATTTATTTCATTAGTACAATTCACCTTAGCTAATCTTTGATCATATGCTAATATCTTGGTTTCAGAAGGACTTTTGGATATCATTAGTATACATATAAATAATAGTAAGTAAATAAGCAGAGTTTTTTTGGGTTTTGCTAGATTGCTAGCCCTTTTTTGCTTCTGTCTATGTAAGGTCTTAATTTTCCAATCATCTTTAGTTTGGCTTTTTTATGACATTTAAGCCATATATGCTTTTTCATTTTCGTTCTACTGTTTTCAGTCTGACGTTTCTCTTGTTCAATCTAATTCCACTTGATTGATAAGCTTTTCATTCTATTTGAACTCTTTCATCTTTATTGGAATATTCTATCTTTTCACTAGTTTTGTTATTGTTATTAAGTTTTTGAACAGAATTGTTACCCTTATCTAATTTCTCTATTACTTTGAATTAGTTGCTACAGGCTTTTCACAATTGCATAGGCCTAACCAATCTTCGGGGATTTCATTGTTGCAAAGATACCAAGTTTCGTCATCATTATCATTATTGTTATCGAGCTCAGAATCTTTGGAACTATTTGAGTACATTTTATAATCTTACTTGTTTTGTTTCCGCTTTCATCACAATGGCCAATATCAAATGCTCCAACAAGGTTATCAAGCCTTTGCTGGAATACGATGTTTCATACTGGTCCTTTTCAACTTCCATTACTTTTGTGTATTTCATACTCCATGCAGATGCTTGAGTATTATTCAGATTAGCAGTTGGTACCTTGAGTTTGTTCGTTTGATAGTAAGTTTTTTTTTTTTGTTGATACAGCTCTTCATACTTAATTTTATCAACTGCCTCAACTATCAAATCATTTGTTTCACTATCATTTTCATTTCAATAACAGTATTCTTCAGTTGTGCCA